GAGAGAGAGAGAGAGAGAGAGAGAGAGAGAGAGAGACAGAGAGAGACAGAGAGACAGAGAGAGACAGAGAGACAGAGAGGCAGAGAGACAGAAAGCGCTGGAAATGGAAGTGAACTGTCTGGGAGAAGCAGAGGGACTAACAGGGGGAGGAGGAAGGGGGAAGGGATGTGTGGGAGGACATGGCCAGAGCACATTATATACTTACGTACCAAACTGTCCTCATGGAACCCGAAATACATATAATGAATGTATTCAGGAGACAGACAGATCTCTGTGAGTTCCAGGCCAGCCCGATCTACAAAGCAAGTTCCGGGACAGCCAGGGCTACACAGAGAAACCCTGTCTCAAAAAAACCAAGCTGAAACAAAAGAGCAAAACAACGACAAAAATTTGCAAAGCAAAGGTGGGGGGGGGGAGGAACCGACCAAGAGAAGTCGGATAACTCGGGAGTCACAGGAAGGCTCGCCTGCTTAGGTGTCTGACCCCCTATCTAGGAGTGCAAAGCGTTCTCCTAAGCTGCAGTGCTTAGACCAAGCTCACCCCGGGCAACCACCCTCCAGCACTTGGCAGCTTTCCGATCTGAGGTCTCACTCCCAGGACATTCATCTCTCCCAGGGACTGTGCAAAGGCTGGTCCTTAAACCCGCTCTTCTCTTTCCCTTCCCGAGCTCCCCAGGGGGGAGATAGCGTTGCAGTGAAATCTAACGTGGAGCGTCGGAGTGTGTATCCCAGCCTTCACACGTTGAAACCGTACCCCAGCATGATGATATTAAGAGGTGAGGCCGCAGGAAGAGTGATTGGGTCATGAGGGCAGAGCCCTCTTTTTACAACAGAGGCCTCAGAGAGACCCTCCAATTTCCCGTATGCGAGGACACAGTGGTGGTGGTGATGGTGGGGTCCTCTGATCCAGGAAGTGTCCCCTTACCAGACAGTAAATCTTCTAATGCCTGAATCTTGAGCTTCCAGCCTTCCAGAATATGAAAGATCTGTACATGGCATTCACAAACTACTCAGTCTACAGAATTTTCTTACAACAGCCAGAATGGATTAGATGAAGAGCCAATATTTAGGACAGATGAACCTGAAGTAGGGGCTGGCAAGATGACTTAGCCGGGAAAAGGAACACGCCGTGCATGCCTGGCCACCCCTAGAACCCACAGTGGAAAGAGATCACTGACCTCGGAAAGTGATCTTCTGGTCTCTAGATATGCACCATGGCATGGCGCTCATGTATGAGCACACACACACACACACACACACACACATACACACACGCATTCATACACACATATTCACACATACACATATACATACATACACATATACACACATGCACACACACATATACAGATATACCCACTAAAAATAAAATAAAACGCTTAAATGTGAAGGTAGTTAAAACAGAGGAATCTTCAGCACCCATTCCCACACTCAGTGAACATCCTAGCCCTGCCCAGCTCAAGTTATCCACTCCTTCCTTTCTGGTGCCCTCAAGATAGCTTGCTCATGAATGGCTGTGGAAAAACCCACCATCTAGGTGTCCAAAATGAGGACCAAGCCAGGTGGTCCCAAGGAACATTCACACATTCACCATCAAGGCTGCCTTCCATAGTCATCCTAAGTCTCTCTTGTTGCTACAATTCCAAGAGCTTTTCTTCCTCTCTTTTCCTGGGACAAAAGAGAAAGAATTAGGTACCAGTCTGCCTAGAGCAACTCTGTGTTCCTAAGACTGACAAGACCCTTCTCTAAATTTTGTTCTGTCTTGTTGACCATGAAATTGGTCCTAGTCCTTTGGCCTTGCTGTGAGGCTAGGCCTGGTGAGCCCCCAGAGAGCTGCTGGAGCCTGGGAATGCTGCGGTGGGCCAGGCTTGGAACCCGCAGCCTACCAGCTCTTGCTCACAATCATCTTGGCTTCCCTGGTCCCACCAGTCTCCACTCCCAGCCATCCCACTCCTGGCAAGCTGGGTGCTGGCCAAGCAGAAATGGCAGCAGCACCCCACTGGCGTCTTGTTGGCATTATTGGGAAAGTTGGCTTTGTTACCACAGAGGTGTTTCAAGTACCAGGGAGAGAGCTCAGGAAGCCGTGGAGACAGTGTGGCAGCTGAATTAAACAGCATCTGTGTGTGTGAGTCATTGCTCGCCTGCCTGCCTCCACAGTCCTTGCATGAACCTTGAGCTAGTGAGACACCTCAGCCCACTAAGTCTCTCCCCGGAGCAAAACTGGAGCACTTAGCTGAAAATTACTGCAAGAAAGGCTCGGAACCTGTTAGAAAGGATTCCCTGAACTTTATGGGCCCCGAGGTACCAGTTTGCTGAGATGGCACCCAGTAGTTGGCCACAGCTGATCCCTCTTCAAATAACTCAGGACAAGTCCACCTTTCTTAAGCAGCTTCTCCCGAGACTTGTGGTCCTCCACTCATGACCGACCTCGTATAGTTCTCGCATGGCATTGTGTATTCGGAAGCCACCACAGCTGCCCTCTGTCACTGCCCTTTTTTGCTTCTGGTGACAAACTTCGTTGGTTTGACAAAATGAGTGTTTTCTCAAACACTACAGTGGAGGTTCTGTCTGTGCCAACCATGTGCCTGGGTTCCAGCTCGCATGGCTTTCCCCATGGTCACAGAGAATCCAGGAAGGTTGAAAAAGTCCCCATCTAGAGCTGGAAGTTGACCCCGAAGGCCGGCCACGCAGAGGGGCAAATGGGAGTCGGTTACACATCACGGGCCTGCAACAGTCTCTCCATGGTACCTGGCAGGCACTGGGACAGATAGATTCACATCAATGTTTTTTTTTTTTTCATTATTATTATTACATTTTTAAAATTTATTTTACATACCAACCACAGTTTTCCCTCCCTCCTCCTGTTCCCTTCCCCCACGTCCTTCCTCCCCCCTCCCCCACCCACTTCTCAGAAAGGGGCAGGCCTCCCATGAGAGTCAGTCAACAAAGCATGGCGTATCAAGTTGAGGCAGGACCAAGCACCTCCTCACTGCATCCAAGCTGAGTGAGGCATCCCACCCTAGGGAGTAGGTTCCAAAAGGCCAGTTCCTGAGCTGGGGGTAGATCCTGGTCCCACTGCAAGGGGCCCCACAAACAGACCAAGCTACACAACTTTCACCCGTAGGCAGAGGGCCTAGGTCGGTCCCATGCAGACTCCTTAGCTGTCGGTCTAGAGTCTGTGAGCTCCCCCGAGCCGGGGTCAGCTGTCTCTGTGGGTTTCCCCGTCATGATCTTGACCCCCCCTTTGCTTATATAATCCCTCCTCCCTCTCTTCAACTGGACTCCTGGAGCTCTGCCCAGTGCTTGGCTGTGGATCTCGGCATCTGCTTCCACCAGTTGCTGGATGAAGGCTCTATGATGACAATTAGGGTAGTCATCAATCTGATTACAGGAGAGGGCCAGTTCAGACACCCTCTCCACTATTGCTAGGAGTCTTAGCTAGAGTCATCCTTGTGGATTCCTGGGAGTTTCCCTGGCACCAGGTTTCTCCCTAACCCCATACTGGCCCCCTCTATCAAGATATCTCTTTCATTGCTCTCCCTCTCTGTCCCTCCCCCAAAATCGACCATCCCGATCCCTCATGTTCCCATCTCCTATCCTCTCCCCTCTCCCCTCACCCCCAGTTTACCCAGGAGATCTTATCTATTTCCCCTTCCCAGGTCGATCCATGCATCTCTCTTAGGGCCCTCCTTTGTTACCTAGTTTCTCTAGGACTGTGGATTGCAGCCTGGTTATCCTTTGCTTTACATCTACTACCCACTTATGAGTGAGTACAAACCATGTTTGTCTTTCTGGGTCTGGGTTACCTCACTCAGGATAATTGTTTTCTAGTTCCATCCATTCGCCTGCAAATTTCATGATATCATTGTTTTTTTTTTTTTTTTACCACTGAGTAATACTCCATCCCATCAACGTTCTTGAATAAGCTCCTCTTCACTGTTGTGAGGGAGAGAGTGTCATCCTCTCAACAGATGAGCTACTGGCTCCAGTTTATAGTTTGCATGGGCTTCATAGACCGTGGGTTCATTAATCTGGATGGAAGTCAGGTCTTTGGGCATCTGAGGAGTCTTTGGGATCGGTTGTAATTGCAGAAGGCCAACAATAACCCGAGAGCCCATGTGCCAGAGTCCATCACTTTTCCTCATTCTGCAACAGCCCTATGAGATGCACATTGTATTTCCCCCTTTCCCTTTGCTTTTATCTTTTGACATGGTCACACTGTATAGCCCAAGCTGGCCTTGAACTTACGATTGCCCTGCTTCGATCACGAGTGCTGAGATCTGCTGTTCTCATTTTACAGATGAGAGAAGTGAGGTATATCAAAGAGGTTACACCTCTTGATTGGGTGGCACATCGAGGAAGAGGTACAGGGTAGATTCAAACCCAGTACCATTTTGCCATTCTCGCTCTTTCCACCACGGTATGATGCCCTCTCATAGGACTTCTCAGCCCTTCTATGTAAGGACTTTTAAAATTTTTGTGGTTTTTTTTTTCTTTTCTTCTATCATCCTGCTGCAACATAAACACAGCTATGAAAATACACTCGTGCTTGTTTGTTTTGCCGTTGTTTCTAGGAGGGCATTTTAGCAAATACACAAAAGGTGACCCAGCCCTAGGGAGGTCACGGGCTCTCTCTTCCTGCTTCTGTATTTACATTCTCTCCGTTCTGGTCCTGTCTTCTGCTTCTCTCCTGTGCCTTTGTGTTCCCCGGGGTGTTTCTCTATTTCCCCACCTTCCCTCATCATCTTTTTCTGCTCCTCTAGACCTAGGCAGCCAATCCTGTACCTTTAGCATCTCGTTGCCAAGCAACAGGCTTTCTACCTGCCCCATTGTGTTAGAATCTCCATGGCAACAAATATTGCCAAAAAGGAAGGGAGGGGAGAGTTACATGGGCTGCAAGAGGACCCTGTATTTCAGGACATCCCTGCCGTTTTGCCAGCAGTAAAATGCTCCCTGTGAGGGTCCCCAGAGGATGCTACAGTTTGCTTAAACCTACCCCTTCTAGATGGCCTGTCAAAAGACATAGTGTGAGCCGGGGGAGATAGACTTTAGCTTAGGGATGTTCATGCGAGGTGCAGCACTTTTTGCCTGGACAGATGGGACAGGGCCATGTGACCACCTCTCTGTGAGATAATTCTGACGACCTAGACAAGGCAGGGCTTCTCAATAAGATTTGTGAGACAGCCAATGGAGAGTTTCTCCACAGGGCACAGAGAGGGTTACCTCTGAACATGGTCTTGTCCAGCACATAGCATTGAGGAAAGGGGGAAAAGTAAAGGATGAGGGATCGCATGAGATTCTGGCCACACAGGCTCCCACCCAGGGATTTGGGGCATGTAGGAGCCCTGTACCTGGTCTGTCCTCAGGAAGTGTGTGACCTCCCCCCAGCCTCTGCTTCCCTTCCTTCAGAGATCCCGGAGAATCCTGCTGGAAAAAGGAGGAAGAAGAGGTGGGGAAGAGATTGGGGTAGCAAGAATTCCCAGCACCTAATGCTGGAATGCAGTGGGGACTTCAGCTCTCTTGTCCACAGACTCTGAGGTCCTGACAGATGTCCTTCAGGTACCCAGCCAGGAAGTGGAAGCTGATGCTATCTTATGAAGGAGAAGTACAGAAAGGGGAACTGGGGGAGCCTGAACTGATCAGACCACCTGCCCCCCCACCCAGCCCTGTGGGGATAGTGACCAGCCAGGACGCTCTGGAAAGCAAGCGACCTCATATTATAAAACCTCCTCTCCCATGGACAAAACAGGCTGCTCTAGCTGTACTTACTATTCGAGATAGATTGTGTGGACAGCTGTCCCTCCCAGTACCCAGCACTCCCAAGGATGCTGGGATTTCACCCAACAACCCCATTTCGCTGGCATTTTCCTCAGTGTTTCTGCCCCATATGAACTGCAAAGCTTTCCCAAGACCACAGGTTAGCCACAGGTTATCACACCCCTGGCCCTGGGCATTCCAGATAGAGGAACATCTCTGTCTCTTTAAACTCCGAGGAGACAATGAGAAAAGATACAGTCCTGTTATTTAATGCTCTTTATGCTTAGAAAGTTCCCAGCTCCAAATTAGAGTGTTTCAGATTGTTTTTGTTGGTTTGTTTGTTTGATTATTTTTGAGACAGGGTCTCACTGAGCGGCCCTGGCTGCCCTGGCACTCACTTTGTAGATCAGGCTGGCCTTGAACTCATAGAGCTCTGTCTGCTTGTGCCTCTCAAGTGCTAGAATTAAAGGCGTAAGCCACCACACTGGCCCAGTCCAGGTTCTTAGTTTAGTGGGAAGGAGAACAGACAGGGTCTTTTGTCTAGTGGGGGTGGAGGGGCATCCACTCATCTTCTCCAGCTGTGCTCTCTTGCCTACTTGGCCTGTTCATGCTCCTGTATATGTGGCCAGGCTCCCAGTGGGTGATGACCCCCCCTGCTGAACAAGGCAGCTTAGATGCAAGATGCTCACTGCTCAGAGTGAGTCAGATACTCCAGACACTGTTGTGGAAGGAGCTGGCTGATCTTTTGGGAACAGCAATCTGCCATTTGTAAGCGACAGGCTTTTCAGGACTCTCTCCTCTTGGACCCAGGGATCCTCCTTCTAAGAATGAAGCCTGAGGCAATGATCTGAAGCACAAGCAGAATATATGGACTTATCACACTCTTGTACACAACAGTGGGAAACTGCCAGGGGTGATGGCGGCGGCGGCGGCGGCGGCGGCACACGCCTTTAATCTCAGTGCTCGGGAGGCAGAGGCAGGCAGATCTCTAAGTCTGAACCCAGCCTAGTCTACAGAGTGAGTTCCAGGACAGCCAGAACTAAACAGAGAAATCCTGTGTCAAAAATCGGGGGAGGGGGGGATAAAAAGAAAAACACCACGATAGTGGAAAACTGGAAACATCATACATGGGCAGCAACGGTAGTGAGGTTAACCAGGGTTCAGGCAATACATTCCCATAACAATTCATGACTCGATAAATGCGTTTTGAATGACTTTTGGAGACTCAAAGTAAAAGGTAAAGGTACTTAGTACACAATAAAGAGACGTACACTTATAACCATAGCACAGCCACAGTTTTATAGTGTATGTGTATTTTGGGATTATTTTTTTTCTAATATATGCTATGATTTTTAAGAGTAATAACTACCCTTTTGGGTTTTTTTAAAGATTTAGTGTGTGTGTGTGTGTGTGTGTGTGTGTGTGTGTGTGTGTGTGTGGTGTGTGCTGGTACCTGCAGAGGCCACAAGAGGGCATTGGATCCCCTGGAACAGATGTTGTGAGGTGCTAACCTGGGTGCTTGGGAACAGATTAGAGTTCTTGCTGGAAGAGCAGCAAGTCCTCTTGTTCTTAACCAGCGAGCCATCTCTCCTGCTCTAATAATAATCATTTTAAAGTTCTTCCCACGTGTTCCTGTGCTTGGTCTGTTTCATCTTTACAGTTCAGTGATATTCGTTATCCTTCTTTTCCAGAAGCAAGCAAAGCTTAAGAGAGGCTAAGCAACTTTTTAAAAACGCCACACACCTTTAGATAGAGTCAGATTCTTCACACACCCTTAAGAAAAAAAAGATATGAGACGTTAACACTGTCTTTCAGTGTGGGGTGAGGGTAGGGGGGTGGCCATCTGCCTGACTTGTGCCTGGTCCAAGCTTGGAAATGCCAGTGATGGAGACACTGCTCTGATGGTCAGGTAGCCTGCTCAAACACTCTATCAGCCCTCCCAAGTGGAGAGCATGCTGTTCCAAAAACTTGTGCCCACACTTCCAGAGTACTGAGGCCCAGGGTATTACAGGCAAAAAACAAAACAATAACATCAACAACAAACAGCCCCGCCCGACCCCCCCCACCCCCACCCCCCATCCCTGCCATAGGAAAGCAGCTTGGATGTTTGGGCTGGAAGCCTTTAGAGTATTCCAAAATCCTGGAGAGCTCGCTCCTGCCCTGCCATCAAGGAACCTTCCCCTCCCCTGGCCCAGCCCTGTGCCTTAACCTTTGCTGAATGATACACCTCCATCTGCCCAGCTGGAAAACTCATCTATGGAGAAATGCTGAAAGCCTTGTGTTGGGGGAGAAAAATCCTGGTAAAGTGAATGTGAGAAAGACTGAATCGACAAGTCCTAAAGGGACCTGTCATCTGGCTGGCTGCCTAGGTCTCTGCTCTCTCTGTTTTCATGGCGCTCCCCACCCCCAAGGCTCCACACAGCTGCTCCTCCCCAGCCCAGCAGCCCAGCCTGGGTCAGGACACCGGTACCTAAGCTGTCACTTAAGGACCCAGACCTCCAGCAACTGGTTCTCAGGACCTAGACGTCTGTGTCCGGTGGCTTCGAACTCTAAACTTTATAATATTCATTACCAGAGCCAAACACAGTGGTAGGATGTTTGGTGTTGGAGGATGTGAAGCAGGAACATTCTGGATTCCAGGAAAAGTGCCTGGGAAGAGGGGAGGAGAAGAGGGGGAGCAGGGGGAGGAGGGGGAGGAGGGGGTTCCCCGCCCCACTGTGTAGTTGTAGGAAGCTGTGGGCGGCGGGCTTCATACTTCCCAGGCCCAGCCCAGCTTCCCCAAGAGGCATTTATAACAGACCTCCAGCCCCCTGTGATTTGTGGGACAGTTTTAAATCATTGATTTTCATTAGCACTAAATCATTCCTCTTGGCTAATTGAAAAGCAACCAAAGATGCAGCTTTGAGTGGAGCCATTGGATGGAGCAAATCAGCAAGCTGTGCCAGATACGCTGACAGCAGAAGTCTGTAGCCCGGAAGTTCTGAGGCCCCTCCCC